TCCCAGGGCACTCTCAATTCTCCTGATGTAGCTACTCAGGGACAGCATTATTCTAACTCCAGGGCAGTTAATCAAAGCCAGGACACTTCTATCAGTCGGGAAGTGGCAGAAAATCTAGTAAAGTATGTGTTGTGATCATCCAAGTGCTCCCTCTTAACCACACTTGTTTCCCTCACTTAATGGGTAAAAGCAGTTCCTGATGCTCCACCTACCACTGACTGAGCTTCTCATTTTCTACCTTAAAACCTCAGTTTCCAATCTTGGCTTCCCTTGACTTGCTTTCTCATTAGGACCCATGAACAACTGCTGCAAACAGCTTAGGGAATTGAACAAAACAATGTCAAGGCCACCAAATTCACAACAAATATACCTAAAAGAATGTTTAGCATTTAATAACAGTTAATGGACAACTTTGACTAATGAGAATATGTGTTAATAGAATTTCTGGAGCTTGCAGAATGCATTTAAGTGCTGAAACTACTTCTGCACTGCATGTTCTTTGATCACTTCAGGAAACTTCTCTAGAACACCTTGAGCTCAGGCAACCCCCTCAGCCCCAAACAGCCAAACAGCCAAGTTTTCATGTATCCCTGTTCATGAACATATTGTTTCTAAGTAAGAACTGCTATTTCTAGATGAGAGTTGCACTAGTCTGGACTTCAATAACAATGAAATCCTTGAGCTTTGCACACCAAAAAAAATAAATCAGCTTTTCCTTACTCTACAGGTCCTCTCAAAGCCAAAGAGATTTCTGAGGAGGGTCTTTTGTTAGCTATTTATTACTTGTAGTAGATGGTAAAAACCCCAGAAAATGCTGCCAGTTCTACAGCACAGCTGTCCCTCACCATCCCCTGGGAAATCAGGGAGGCTCAGCATTCCAGTGAGATGGACATGCCTCCTTCCCAGGTCACATAAATTTAATACAAAGTCAGTGTATCACTGCCGCTCTACCAACTTCCAAAGCATTCCAGGTGTTAAATCCAGATGGTTACCAGCAAGAAATCCCTTGAGATATCTCTTGGACCATTTCAAAACCTGAATTCCTGATTTAGAGAAGAATCACTTGCTTGAATTCAGTTTCTATTTAGGCACAGATCTAACCTCCACTTTGATGAAAACCCAGAAGTGCAAATGGGAACAATGGATGTGGTACTACGTTTTCTCCATCATCTTAACCTTGAGATTATGTGTCAATCTGATATCCAGTTTCACTGAAATTATGTCAATCCACCAAGAAAATGGCAGTGAAAAGACATTCAGCAATGACAATCACAGGCACGTTGCTGAGAACACCTGCAAAAGTTAGTTGATGTAAGGCCAAATTTGCTAGCAAGATCACTACTAAATAGAAAATACTTGAACTACACCACTAATGTAGTTTAGGAGCCTCCCCTCACACCTTGCTCTGAGTCAGAATTCTGCAGCACGTTGTATCTGTCAGACACCTGAGGTCTGTGCATGGGTAAGGAATACAGGCCTGAAATATCTCAAGAGTTGAGAGGGAGCATAAAAATGAGCATTGCATTTTAAAATCAAATCACTAGGAAGAGGGAAACAGAAATCAGCATTTTAGGATCTAAGCTAGTGGATCATGACTAAAAAAAAAGGCTCTTTACCTGGTGTTGTCATGATGAGGGTTAGAGGAAGTGGTAGCAGCTGACCCACCACGTAACATTGGTCTACAGCAGTTTTGTGTATGTAGAAAGGACAAGACAGAAACAGGAAATGACAGAGATAAGAGGTAAAACACACAGAACAAAGGAACATCAAAGTACTTCCACATATACTGCATGTTTCAATACAATATCATTTCTACTAATTTTGTTCCAAGTTGCACCTTCTTATTTCTCTTACTCAAATCTAATCAACACTGAAAGTTTTTGCAGCTAAGACAAAGCAAATTTTTGATAATACAGCTTCACTCATGGAAGACAAATGATTGTAATAGATTTGGGTGGAGATTATCAGCCTTATAAAATAACCATAGGAAACCTGAGCTTAGAAAAAAATTAACCCACAAAACTAACACCTCACCCAACAACAGTGGGGAAAAAAAAAATGTATCTGCACCTACTTATAAAAGCCCTTTTCATCATCCTCTCCTCCCTCCAGGGAAAGGGAAGATTTGTCTTTTTCTATATTCATCCCTGCTAGGTGTAATTCAGAAAAACTGGGCTAGTAGCCTAAGGATCATGAATAGCCTGAAGGGAGGTAGATCTCTCCAGGAAGAAGTGACTAAAACCTTCAAGTAGATGGTCTGAACATCATTATAAGTTTTGCTCTTTGAATTTCTTTTCCTTTCTAGGCAGAGAGGAAGAAAAGGCAGTTTGTTTTTTTTAATTGCTGCCACTACATACATGCTTGCAATAAGAAGTTACTGTGTTCCAGTTTGCAGAAGATGTGAATACCAGCAGCACCTTCTGACCAAGCTGGTCCCAGGTGTTTCCAGTGCCCCAGGTAATGAGGCATTAGTGTTCCACATCATAGCTATGACAAAGTGTTCCAGAGTCTGGAATATGTTTTCAATCTCTTTAGTTTTCCCAATGCCAACCAAAGATACTTGTACCATGCACTTAACCCACGTGTGCTGCAGGCTGTAAAGACAAAGAGAAGCTAGGTATGAGGTCTTACAGAGCAGGCACATGCAGGAGGCAGAGCCTTGGTGCTGGGGTGGCTGGAAGAGCCCTGTGGCCTGGCCTGAAAACCAGAAAGAACCATGCAAAAATATCACAACCACTAGTTTCACTTAGAAGGATCAGCATCTAGGAGCCTTGGCAAACTCTGCTACCTATGCAATACTTACTAGGACAACTTATTAGATCCTACTCTGGAAGTGCATACCACAGTGTCATTCTCTCTAGCACCTAAGATAAGCCACGATGTGTTTTATAAAACAGAAAGCCTCATTTCCAACACATACAATAAAAGAATATTCTTACCTAAATGTGTGAGGTCTTACATAAAGTTATCAAAAAAAGGTATTCCTAATCAGAGAAATAATTCAGCTAGTCTAAAATCTGACAGATCCTACAGCTAAACACTTAGAGAAGGCAAAAGAAATTCAGCAAACAGCACCTACAGAAAAGGTCACAAATTTCTCTGCAAACCCAAGTCACCTGTAACTACCTGGCAGATATGTGAACACCAGTGTGTCAGTATCCAGGGAGCATTTCCCACACCACCTGACACGGGACAACATTCAGGATTTGTGTAAGGAGAACAATAGGTCTCCAATGCTCTCTAAACTCAGCCTCTGGGCTGTTTTGTGGCCAAAAAAAAGTTTTACAGCTGTTGCAAAACTAATCAATCCTAATTCACACTGCCCTTCCCAGAGAAAGCCACAGGCTTCGAGGCAGTTCAGGGCTACAGTAAGGAACAAAGCCAGAGTGCTGTGGGATTCAATCAGTCTTGAATCCCACTTCCCAACAGAGCCAGGCTGTTAGAAAGCTGCACATGATTTCCTCCTTTGCTTTGCAGTTCCCATTTTATTTCTTTCATAGAATTCTAGAATGGTTTGGGTTGGAAGGGACCTTAAAAATGATCTACTGCCATGGGCAGGGACACCTTCCACCAGCCCAGGTTGCTCCAAGCCCTGTCCAGCCTGGCCTGGAACCCTTCCAGGGATGGTACATCCACAATTTCTCTGGGTAACCTGTGCCAGTGCCTCATCACCCTCACTGTAAAGAATTTTTTCCTAGTATCTAATCTAAACCTACTGTCAGTTTGAAGCCATTCCCCCTTGTCGTGTCACTACATGCTCTTGTAAATAGCCTCTCTCCATCTTTCTTGTAGGCTCCTTCAGGCTGCACTTAAGTCACTCCAAAGCCTTCTCTTTTCCAGACTGAGCAATCCCAATTTTCTTAACCTTTCCTCATAGAGAAGGTGCTCCAGCCCTCTAATCATCCTGGAGATGCCCCAGCAGGTCAGTGTCCTTGCTGTGCTGGGGAGCCCAGAGCTGGATGCAGCACTCCAGGTGGGGTGTCACCAGAGCAGAGCAGAGGGGCAGAACCCCCTCCCTCAACCTCCTGGCCATGTGGCTTTGGATGCAGCCCAGGATACACTTGGCTTTCTGGGCTGCAAGCTCATGTCCAGCCTCTCATCCACCAACTTTACACCTCTCAGCCTCCACTTGACAGGAAAAAGGATCACCAGAATATTCCCCTACCTCTCCCACACTTTCCACTTTACTGGTTTTATGCATCTACAAAAAAAAAGTGATTATATGGATCACAGTGGCCTCATAACTGAGAACACCTTACCCCAAAATCAGCAGCAAGTTTTTCAGTAAGTAGAGAATACCCAAGTGTAACATAGGCAAGCTATAAATACAAGGCCTTTTTTTAAACACTGAGCAAGAGCACTTTAAAACTTTGAATGCTTTGGCTACTTCTGTCAATTCCATCCTAAACATTAACACATGACCAGAAGAAGCCACCAAGGCCATAGGTACTCACTGCAAATAAACAGCAGCCTGAAACTTGAAGGGAATGCAGAGTAATGCAATCTAATAACAGTGGGAAAACAGGCAATAAGGCAAGGACCAACTGAACCTGGTCTGCCTTCTGCTGCTTAGAGCAGAGCATGCAAAAGAAACATAGGGTCTGGGAGGAAAACAACACGGTGGGGACAATATGGGGACCTGGGCCCAACTTCCATCGTTCCTGTAACCACAGACTGAGGCCAGCACAGCCTCTTTAGGCTCAGCAGAGGCAGCAGTTGTGCTCATCTCTCACTGTGCTTCACAACACCTCTGGATGTCTCAGAAAGTGCCCAGAAGAATAGGCAGTAGGACTTAATGGACATGTTCTGGACATGATCTGGATAAACTTCTACAGTACAGAAAGGACAGTGACTGGATCACACTGCTCGACTTGCTTGTCTCAGTGCTACAACAGCTACTTCAACACAGCAATAGATACAGCTTTTCCCAGCCTCCCTCACATTTGCAGATCCATTTCATTTTCTTCTGAACTCACTACCCCAATCCAAAGTCAGGTGCAGCCTCTTTGATGGTCTTACCTCACATGTCATTTTAGATCTACAATCAAAAACATCATTAACTTGCTCAATATAAAAAATCATCTCATAACCCCTCAGGATTTGTTTATGTGGGTGAAGTTTGGCATTTAGAAAGGATGGTAGGTTTTTAGAAAGGCTATCCTAAAGAAAGGAAAAAAATTTCCATGCTTCTTTTTCTCCTAAATAAAAATGTGTTGACTCAAGAGACAAAGAATAATTTAGATAAAGTACAGATTTCAACACAGCTCTATACAGATACGGAATTGCCTTTTTTCCTGTATTTAAGAGGTTGCTAAAATCCCCTTATAAGGCAGAGAAGCTTTTTGGGGCTTGTTTGGTTTTGGGGTGGTTTTTTTGTTGCCTAGAGCATAAAAGATCAGTGTTTAAAGGGTTCTAGGTGTAGGCCCTACAGCCATGTGACAGAAATTGAAACAGAAAAATGGTTAGAACTAGAAAACAAAACTGACCTATTGTCCTTGTCCAAGCTGAAGGAAATGCAAGAGTAAACAGATAGTGTAAACAGTGATCATTAAAGTGTTGCTCATTTAAAAAACCCATTATGTGAGCAGTGCTGGCTAAACTAGGCATAATTCATTATCTGCAGCAGCACAATCAGCACCTACCGTTAGCAGTTTTAGCAGTTTGGAAAATATTTTGCAAAAAGAAAAAACAACAAACAAGCCATGAAACAAGTTAAAAATATTTCCAGTGAGTAACACACAGTCAGATCTTGTTAACTCTAAAATATCTCTTCTAGTATTAAGCATCAACTGTTAAAATAGATAAGGTTTTGAGATAGAAAGCACATTACACAGAGCAAAAGAGTGCAGGTTTGGAGCAATTTAAAATGAACAGTATTTTGCAACCATGCAAGGTGATCATCCAAATTTCACATTCCTACGCCAGCTGTAACAGTGGGGACCTAAAAATACACTTCCACCTCATTGAAGAGTTCATTATTTTGGCACCTATTTGTCCATAGGTGACTAGGAACAGGTTTCCCATTCCTTCTGGGAAGGTTAGTAAGAAAACCTCAAAAATGAACCCAAACCAGGAGCAGTAATGAAGCTTTTGAAATATTCAGAACCCTAGAAACTGTCTGATGACTGAAGTAAGTTCAAAATGCATATATGCATGTGTGTTTGTTTTCCAGAATCCAAGAAAAACTCAGGCAACAACATGCATATAGGAAGCCAGGAATAAAACCTGTCAGCTTCACTGCAGGCTGGGAAAGGGCTAGTGCTTCAATCTAGATTTTAACAAGGACTCTTGGCACAGCATCCATAAATGCTCTCGTTCACAGACAGTACAATTCCTCCTTATCTGGGAGCTTTAATTTGGTAAAACAAACTTGGAATTCCATCTAAATTTAATATTGATAAGGAAAAAAAGGTATTGATGCCCAACTGTTGACAGGCATAAAAATGGACCAGCTACAACCTGACATATTTCATTGGGTAAACATCCAACTCAAAGAATTTCAGGGGGAACTATGCAGCTCATTTTGTTTGGTTTTTTTTGAGTCCCACTTTAAGAACATTAAGGCCAGCAAGACTGGAATTCCCTACAATTCAGGAATGTTAATATGGGCATTTACATACTGTCAGGTCAGCAAACGTGGTGAGCTCTAGGAGGTGCCAGTTTGGAAAGTGACTGCAAACACAGAGACATCCACAGTAAGATTGGCTTGATAGTCACATTTCATTACCAAAACAACTAGAAAGCAAGTCATTTCAACTTCACACTACAAATACTAAGTGTGCTGCTGGGATAGTAGCAGGAGAAAATGGCTAATTTCAAAGAACTTGCTAGCACAGCTCACACTGAAGAGCTGCAGGAGCAATGAGCAGTTCCTCCCAATGTTCTTGCCAATTATCTCCTCTAATTTGACCTCTTGGCAAGCCCTAGAGGTCTGGCCTAGCCCTACAATAGAGACTGTGTGCATGTTTTACCTGAACTTCTGTGCTAGCATGCTAGGAAAATGAAAAATGCTTTTGGTAAATGAATACTGCCATTATTAGCCTTTAGAAATGTTTCCATAGTGTTAAACATGCCATTCTTGTAATGCTTACAAGTGCCAGATCAAAGCAGACCAAGGATACATCAAGTAGGCAAAACGCCACTGAAGAGAATGGAGATATTATACAGGGATTGCCATGAGGTTTGTTCTGGCTCATTACCTCTCAGAGGGTCAGGTTATCCATTAAATTGGAGACAGCAATAATCAGAGGAGCAAACAGCTTTCAGTGTTCACTGCCTTTCCTGCTCTCAGCATCCCACAGGGTCACCATCATCATGTGTCAACCAGAGACAGCTACTCCCAATATGAACTGAAACCGCCTCAAGTCTTGACACATTATCAGCAGCAGCATCTACAATGCCTTGCACAATATTCTACCCTGTTTCTCCACATTTGTTTTAATGCTTTATGACAACATCAACCCAATCTTATTGATTTGCACCACTGCTCACCAACAAAAAAGCAGAAGACAAGGCTAGTAAATTTGCAGGCTCAGGTTCAAGTATTAATTGCAGAAAAAACACTGACCATCTTAGAACAACAAAACCCCTTGCAGTCACAGGCTAACCCTTCCTCATTTGATTTTTTTTTAATAGGGAAGGAAACCAAAACAATCCTCTCTCTTTGAAACAGAAGCATTTTGAAATGTGAATTTTGGACATTTAAATTGCTTATGAATTGTGAAAGCAAAGGAAAGCAAAAGCAAATAGTTTCATATCATTGTTTTGTAAACAGAAACCAAACTCCACTAAAAAGGAGCAAATAAAAAACAAAACAGAACAAAAAAAAAAGCAGCAAGAGCTGGCAGAGTCAGTGACAACCAATCACCTGCGGTTTTCATCCAGCACATCCAAGACCTGCTGGTAAGCCCTACGAGTGGAAGACTGGATAAACGACAAAATGCCACGAGCAGAGTAAAGATTAGTTCCATCTTCAGGTAACATATTGGGAGGACAGACACGAGCCTGTTGCAGTGATGGTGTCACACTGTTCGTACAAGCATAGTAAATGAAGAGAGAAATACTATAGTCAGATTTCAAATTAAAAAAAAAAAAAAAAAAAGCTTTTCAGATAGACCCCATTCCAAAATGCTTATTGCTTGCTTTTGGTTTACCCTTCTCCCACCACTGTGAGCTAACACTCCCAGATTCTAGTAGTGTTAAGGATTACGAGCTACATTTACAGATTTTCTTCAGAAACAAACACAAGTTGTAATCCAAGGACACAGTTTTGTTATACAAGTTAGTTAGAGAAAGTACTCACACAGCTAAATCTGTACCTGTTGAGGTCAGTATTCAAGTCCTCACTGGTATCAATGAGAGAAGTGTTTTCACAAGCTTTGGCATTTTAAGAGAACCCTACACAATCTCTTTTCAAAGCACAAGCCTTTTTCAGTAAGGAGGATCTCCCACAGAGCCCCTTCAACAAAACTGTTCTGAAGCTGTGACAAAAGACCAAGGTAGTGTTTTGGTTTGCATTTAAAGGCAATTGCAACAAACTCCAAAAAAAGCACAAAATTCATATCCCAGTGACAAGTTACGTGATTAACTTGTTGACTGTGATGCAAAAAATGTTATTTAAAATATGCAGGACTGAAAGTCAAACATGACCATTTGGGTTGTACAAACCTTGTCTAGTAGAGAGAAATTAGTTTGGATAAACTGCCTGTGATTTGCTCATGTTTCTTTACATTCAAACTGACTATCCATATTTTCTTGCACACAACAAGTTGGGGTTCTTTTCAATCTGGAAACTTTAATTAAAGTAAGATCTTTTTTAATAGGAAGTAATTCATGTTAAATTAATTGCAAATGTAAATACAAATGATAACCAAGAGCAAGTCATTGTGCCCTTTAAACCTTGGGATAGTTTTTAGTCCTCAATTAGCATCCATAATTCAATACATTTCCTAGTAACCTGTGCTTTGCTCCAACAGTTTTTGGATTTAGAATGTCACTGTTTGCTACTTAGACTGCAGAGACCTTTTCATCCTGCCATGGAGTACATTTGGACCACAGAAAGTAAAAAGGAGGAGGATACATCAAGAAACATCTAGTCCCATATTTACAGGTTTGTTATTCTCCAAGACTTGTAGAACACACCTTACTTTTACATTTATGATGACTTCTCCTTTGCAAGCAATGGTGGTGGTCACACCTATACATTTTACTCTTGACTTGCATTGGAAATGTCAATATTCACTAGAAAAATATCAAAAAGCAGGGGCAGGTATGGAGATATTGCCACTACAGTGAATTTCTGAGGATTTTTACTCCTTGTGGATTTGAGGCTTGAGGCAGAGGGAAGAGCTGAAGGCTTGAACTTTTAGTATGTTCTACATTAAAAGTAATTTTTCCTGTTCATCACTTCAGAAATGTACAGAACAGGCTGAAAGACAGCTTAAAAAAACAGGCAGCAAACAGCATTGAGACATATTGCAAAATAGAAGAAATGGTGCAATTCCCATTGCCCAGAATGGTATTACTGTAAAAACCACAGCAATGTTATTTGCATACAAAGACTTATGTAAAAAAATTAAAAATAATCCCCCCCAAAATACCCCTATTTCACTACAACTGCACAAAATTCTCTAGAACAAAGTTACATGTGCTGATTCAATTGAGAGTGAATATAATAAAGAAAAATCAATGAGAATAATTCTATGAGGGGCTCAAATGTCAGGACTGGGAGGGAAGAAGCCAAATTTTTCTTCTGTCTTCCATTTTCAAGATTCAGCATTACTGTCCTGCAAACATATGGTAATTCTTTGGACTATGTCAGAGACCATGGAGAAGAAATTTTAGGAAGCAAATATCTGATATACATATCAGCCCAGATGACATAAGGAAAAATAAATCTCTAACATAAGGAAAGTTCTCCAATATTTAGTGTGAGCACTTATCCTTAGACATTGTGGCCATCACCCTTCTCCCCTCTGTTCCCAGTAAAATGCGCTTAGTCCTAGGTACAATTTTGTTTCAAATTTCTGAGAAGAATTGTTATATACAGCTCCAGCCACTTATTTTAGCACTCCCTGGTTACAAAACCCACTCAATTCCAGAGTTTGGAACCAAAACAAACATGCAATTACAGACACTACTAGGAAAGAGCACAGTAACATTCTACTATATGCAGAGATTTTAGCTCAGCAGTTATCTCCCCTAAACTTCCTCAAAGCATTTGTGATGTACACAGGCTTTATTTCAAGCAGTCCACAACTTGCAGGTCTAGAAGTATCTAATGAGAGACAAACAGATTTAACTAATTAAGGTTACTTTAATTTCAAGCACATAGACAGACTGTATTCTCATTAGAGACATGCACACCATCACCTTTTCCTCCATGACTTGCATGGAGAACAGAATTTCTCAAACTGTGAAACTGAACTCTGCAGAGATGTGTTTTCCTAAGGAAAAGGTTGGAGCAGAAAAAAAATAAAATTAACTTCTGTCCACTTTTCCGTGCACTCCTGGTGGTTTGTTGACTTCCAACACAGAAGTAGAATCCTTGCATTCAACCCTGGCTGGCAATGACCAACAAAAAGCTTTGTTTCTCCAGCTATTCGAAAACAGCCACGGAAAAAAGTGTCAAACAAACTAAAGCTATTTCGAAATTTAATTTTTTCTTTACAACACAGTCATACATTGAAGCTGTCCCTTTCATTTGCTTCTAGGTGTTTTTCCCTATGTTCTTTACACGGGGAAACAACCTGGCCAAGTTTGAGAAACCCTGAAGCAAAATTAGAAACCACACACTCAGTGTAGCAAAGGCTGCTTCAAATTTTATATTCTACACTACAGATACTTAGTCAGAACATTAGTACTGCAGAGAGCTACAGAATTAAACACACTCTTGGTTTTCTTAGGCTTACGTGCAATCCTTAGTCGCAAGAGGTGACTGGAACCGTGGCATTTTATTTCTTGGGACAGTATCTGATCTGGGCCACCTTGAATAATAATGTAATCCTTCAGTAAGCATCCTTATAAATAGGGGGACTGTAATTTAGAGAGCTGTCACTATTGCTGCACAGTTATTGTACCAGCAGGTACCTACTTGTTAGTCACAGGTTTTTGCAAAGCATTTGAGAATTGCTGCCTTTAGTGGAGCCCAACTGCCAAAAAGTTCTCAGAAATGTCTCTGCATGCAACTGGGTGGCAAGCAGTGAAAGACAACAGAAGAGAAACAACTCCCTGTACCACTGAGATAGGGAGTGTGGATCTGCTGGAAGGCAGGAGGGCTCTGCAGAGGGACCTGATTCCGACAGGATGAGGTTTAACAAGGCCAAGTGCTGCTCCTGCACTTTGGCCATAACAATCCCATGCAATGCTCCAGGCTGGGACAGAGTGGCTGGAGAGTACCAGGCAGAAAGGCACCTGGGAGTTTGGAGAGACAGAAAGCTGAACATGAGCCAGCAGTGTGCTCAGGTGGCCAAAAAGGCCAATGGCATCCTGGGCTGGATCAGGAACAGTGTGGTCAACAGGACCAGGGAAGTGATTCTGCCCCTGGACTCGGTGCTGGTGAGGCCACACCTTGAATCCTGTGCTCAGTTCTGGCCCCTCAGCTCAGGAGGGACATTGAGGTGCTGGAGCAGGTCCAGAGAAGAGCAACGAGGCTGGTGAAGGGACTGGAGCACAAGTGCCATGAGGAGAGGCTGAGGGAGCTGGGGGTGTTCAGCCTGGAGAAGAGGAGGCTCAGGGGAGACCTGAGGGAGATCTATTCCAGCAGGTACCATGTGCAAGCTGTCAGTCGCTAGAGAAAGCCAATCCTGCAGTGAAATTCCACTGTGTCCTTTCAACAGGACATAACTGGATGACTGATACCACAGGGAACTTGGGCACTTAGTAGGCTGATAGAACACTTGGAGACTGAGGTGATCAGGAGCTTAAGGATGCAAATCTACTTTGCCAGCTCAGTGAATATGTATGACTCTGCAGACTTGACTACCTATATGCGCACTCTATAAACTTGTATGGATCAAAAGTCTTATTAAGTGAGAAGAGGAAGACATGAAACAACATTTCCATGAAGATCTGGAAGAAGGGAAGAATTATAACACGTCTGGAACATGCATCAGAGTACATTTCACCAGTTTTAGACAAACTGACAGGTGGAGAGATATGGAGCACCCGTTGTCCCTCCTAGTGCCCGTGCTGTAAATAGAAGAAAATAGGCATTTCTAGGACATAATTTGCTTGATCTACTTTAGACTAAAAATAGGTAGACCCTAAGTAGGTCATGCACTTATTTCCTTCTAGTTACTGTAAATTATGTTTGTGGTGATCTAGCAATAGTGTTCTACAGTCTGCATTGGGACAGATCAATCCCATCTTTTAAGCCTTAAATCTTTTCTAAGGAAAGTATTCCTTAAGGCAGCTGGATTAAAACTCACGTCTAAAAGCTTCCTAAGGCTTACATTGCAAAAACAGTCGTTTCCACGTGGAAAGATGCTGTCACTCAGAATAAAATCTGATTAATCCAAGACTAGCTTATCTACAGATATGTGTGTCTTCAGAAAGCATCTTAAGAATTGCTACCTTGGATGGGAACAATAGATGAAGTTTCCAATTCTAAATGCTACTTGTCATTTTGGTCTCAAAAGATTAAGGTTCCAATACATGAAGTACACTGGTACTAAGAAAAATTATTCTAATATTGATGAGGAAATAAAAATTATTTTCATCCACCGAACAAATATAGCAACAGTGAGAGAACTGGGAATGTTTTGATGCACAAAGAACTAAACTTCCTGAAAATTCAGAGGGAAAAAATATTATACCAACTCACAAACTGAAAAATCTCCTGAAGTAGCAATTCACAGTTACTGGTGACACCAACTGTGAGCCCACAAACACTCCCACCCACCCACTGCAAGAAAATGCTTCACAAGTGAGTCACCTCACTAGATACAAAGCAAAGACGTCAAGCAAAATGTTGGCCTTGTAACAGTTAAAGTTATGTACTTGCCACAACATCCAAAATATTAGTTGGAAAAAGCAACTAATGGGGAGATAAGGAACAAAGGAAATGTGTAACAAAGCTCTAGTGGTGTCCCTGCACCCTGCTGCTCCACTTACATGGATTCATTCCGGGACAGTTGGCCATTCTGTCGCGTGGCGTTTTCACTCATGGAACGTTCTCTCTTCAGCCGTCCCACGGAGCGGACCTGCATCAAAGGGACAGAGAGAGGAGACAGAGAGTTCCAGGACACATCAATATGCACTGCAGGTTTGTAGGTTAGGGTTGCCTTATGTTAGGCACATTTTCATGGGTTTCCCAGAGATTAGGAGGACAACAACTGATGGCAGGATCTGATGCTGGTACATGTAAAACCAAGCTCCAAAGTTGTTGCTGTCTTGTTGTTATCTATCCATGGGATCTGATGCCAAAATTATCAACCAACAGAATTTTGACTATTCTCTGGAGTTATCTAAAAGTCTATTGGGCACAATTCTGAGTAATGAGCTCTAGGGGATCCTGCCTGAGCAGGGAGCTTGGACTAGATGACCTCCAGTGGTCCCTTCCAGACTTCCCCATTCCAGGATTATTTCCAATCACCAGAGATAAACACATTTCTATTGTATTTTAGAAGTCTGTAGAATATGCAGCTTCATAAATATTTTTATTGCCTTCAAGATGGCAGCTGCCACCATTCACCTGGATGCCAATGTTATAACCATTCTTTGAAGCTGATGGTCCGTTTTGTTAAAACTCATTATCTGTGGTGCTTTCTCATCTGGCCATGAAGTCCAGATGTTAACTATACACAATAAAACAATTTTAGTTTGCTTTCTGATAAACTGTAAATTAAAAAAAAAAAATAACTTACAGCTTGCTCTTCATCAAAAGTATTTTTTTGCTAGAAGTATCTGCAGTAGTTCTAATTAGAACTTGACTTTTGTAAGTACTGTGTAAGCTTACAGTGCATGGCAAGCCCAGGTCATTTGCCACTTCTAAATCATAACCAGAACTACTATAAGGCTAATAAAAATACTCTCATCTTTTCCCAGCTTAGGTTAGCACCAAGTTGATGTGCACCACAGTAGAGAAATCATTGGTCATTGCACTTTCTTTAGTAGAATGCTTCTGGTCTAAGGAAAAAGCAAAAGAAGTACTGGCCTCTTCGCTTTGAGGTGTCTGCTGAGGAGGTTTCTCTAGGTCCAAAAAATCTAGAGGTCGTTCATTAAGAGAAATAACACGGGGAGGAGTTTTCAATGCCAGTGGTTTCAATGAAGTAGACTGAAGAACATCAAGATCTGCTGGTCTGGAAAATGGCATGTCTCCACTATCACCTGCAAGAACATCAGTTGTCAGTAGACAGCAAACTGTTCTGAGGCCTGAGGGCAAAGTTCAAAAAGACATCACAGCAGTTCCTTCCTCTGCCTATACCAAATAATGAAATATAACTTCCTTTAACAGGTCTTGCATGTTAAAAACTATTGTTAAAGCTCACCTAAAGAGCATGTTAATTGACATTTATTTGAGGAGTTTCTCTGAGAACAACGATCTTGAGGAAACCTGAGCCACATCAACTGTTACTGCAAGTGAGAGCACTAGGCATAGTCCTATTAATGATGTGTATGTTTAGAAACAAGTGACTGGGGATGCCAAAGCATAAAGTATATGCATGTCACACATTTTTTAAACTGAAAGACCTTCAGCAGTTCCAGGTCTGTCACTGTAAAGCCCATGACCATAAAGACTGAAATAGTTTTGATAGAGTCCACCCAAAACCAGACAGGTTCTTAACACAGTTAGCATTCTGATCAAAGTGAAACACATTTTGCATGACTAATGCATATTACATCCCCAAAACTTGTTGCAGTTACTTAAGCTTGTAGTTCATTAATAAAAATCAAGTGGAAATCAATAAACATTATTTTTTTCTCCAAAAATAGTTTAGTAAGATGAAACATCAGCAATTAAACCTTCTGCTCATAATTAATTCACTACCTGTCTCCATTACAAGCTACACCAAAACCATACAAGAAACATTTTCAGAGCCTAAGAGATTTCCTAAGCCAAAGTTAACAAGCATTAACTGTTTGAAAACCAGAAAGCAATTTACAGATTATTCTTTTAAAAACATAACAATACCTAATTTTTCCATCCAGAAACTTGAGGAACTAATTGAAGTTTTCACCTGTAGGGAGATGCAGCCATACCTGCCACTACAATCCGCTCTGGAACTTGCATAGTTACACTGGCACTTGGAAATCCTTCCTGGCTGCCGTTCTCAAGGTCAGTGTTTGGAGGAGCTACTTTGAGTTTTTCTGGGACCCTCATGCGCAGGCTGATTCCTTCAGTGTATTCCATCTCATACTGAAGGCGATTAATTTCTGCCATCTCGGCAGCTGGAGATGGGAATGCTGCTCCACTCATCCTGCAAAACCAAACCAGAAACTGTAACAGCAATATTAGCAAATCAGCAGCATGTACGTAAAGACAACACGTTGTTCTGATTCCTAGGTAAGTGGTAAGTGACCTTAACTGAAGAGACTTATTTAGAGAAACAAACGAGGCAGTAAAATCCATGGGAAGTGTAGTCACAAGGAGCTGGGAGGTGCAGGCAATGACAGAAGAAGAAAAGTGATGCTGTAGACAACGCTCAGGGCTGTGCTGAGGGTCCTCAAACTGACACAAAAAAAACCCCCTAGAAATTCTGCGTGTCAGGTACTATTCCTGCACTGGTTGGCAGGAAAAGAAACACAAACAAACCAACACATCAAAGAACTGGTTAAATTGACAGGAAATCTATTCAGGATTGGTAAGGAATCTAAATTATTGATTTGCCTTTACACAAATCCAGTGCACTGCTATCTGAGAAGATGGCAGAAGTCTTACAAAACCACATGTTGAAGCAGAAAAGGCTCAGCCTAAGCAGCAGCTTTCTGCTGTCAGTCACCCAGATCTCACTCCACCTTACAGGGACAAAGTTCCTGACCGACAGCCTGCCAAAGCAGCTTGAAAACTGAGCACGTTCAGAACCATTCCCAATCACAGTGACTCTGTGAGCTTCTCACTTCTGTTTGGCTGCAAATTAAAATCTTACTTTTGCAGAAGAGATACAAGATAGGCAGAGAGAGAACAATACTTCATAGATACATTTTCCTAGAAAAGGAGAGGTATTTCACAGGAAGCAGCAGGGCAGTTTCCTAGAAACTGGGCTGTGAGAAACTCACTAATGAAGGAAGTGCTGGGAGTTGTGTCAAAGACCAAGCTGACTGGGGTTGGAGGTGAGGGTTAAGGTAGAGAGAAAAAGAAATCCTAGAGCTGCACTTGGAGGGAAGCTGAAAAGGGGCTGCTGATGGAAACTGTGGGCTGGAAAGGGACCTCAGAGAGCTGGGAGAAGTTGTACACCTGGGCAGTGGCTAGAGGACCTTGTGGATGGCTCAGACCAAGATTATGGTTATGGGCTCAGCTAAGACAGACATCCTAAAGCTGCAGGGCTGGAAAGGGTCTCCCAGAGAAAACAGTGAGCTGCATGGAATACGTGGTTGTGGGAAGCTTTTCATTCAGGCAATGGCTGGGGAGGCCTTGTCAACAGCTCAGAGTGAGCCAACAGTTATTTTTAGGGTCACAATTGAAAAGAAAAAAGGTTTCTAGACATGTATGTACACACACAATACGTAAATACAGTTTTCCTGGCAAACCTGCCTGTGGGAAGCATGGCTTACTCCAGCAGGAAATCTTTTAGTGCTGTTGCTTAAGCAGTTTCCTAGATGAAGTAACCTATCCTGGCAAAAAGGCAGGTTTTGCCACTAAAATTGTAACTCCATTCCTTTGCTATTTTTGGCAGCAAGGCTATGTCTGCTGCTGCCTGTGCACTTTGCTGAGCTGAACATGCAGAGCTCGGAGCAAAAGGCCTCAGTGCAGAGCAGCTGCATGGCAGGTGAGACAGCCCACGAGCCATTCACACCATCACAGGGATGCAATGCTTTCCATGCCTATCAAAACTAACAGCAACCTTCAGACAACAGAAAGAAGCACACAGAAGGATCTTGATTCTGTAACACTGAAATGCAAACATGGAGTATATTCAAGATATGAACCACTTGGCAATCCATCCTGGAATCCTCAGTGTTATTATCAAGACTTCCTATCAGCACAGATCAAATGAAAGAATCTTATTTATCTGCTAGTCTCACTGTAGCACAGTAGGAGGATGGGTGATCAGGGAGAAGGCAAAGGAAATACCTGAAGTGCTGCAGATTTAATCTGTCTCTATTAATTGTCACCGTTTGTATGTATCAAGTGAAAGAAGCCTTGAGCAACCTGCTCTGGTGGGAGGTGTCCCTGCCCAGGGCAGGGGTTGGGGCTGGGTGATCTCTAAGCTCCATTCCAACCCCCAAAATTCTATGACTTCATTAGAAATATACACTTTCTAGGAGATCAAGAGGTGCTCAAGCACCTCCCACTGTAAAATTTTTAACCTCTCACATGGAGCCTTTTTCATCCTTACCCTTCAATTTTGCAATCTAGATGTGTCTCTCCTGTAAGACATTGGGTAATCAGACAGTGACATGAAAAAAAATACACAGCCTTCTGACACTCCCCCATTCCAAAAGGCCCTTTTCATTTTAAGACATTGATTGTGATCAGTAAAGCATTTCCAGATCGAGTAAAAACAATTATGTCAGTCAGGAGAGCCAATTTTAGGAAGAACTAAAAGTACTCAGGATATTATCAACTGGTGGCAGGTTCAGGCATACTTAGTGCCCACGTGACCTGACAAAAGGTGTTTCACTGCTTGTTCACTTCCTCATTTTGAAATACCTGCACACCTCTAATTTTAGCAGTCAAGTATCCCTGTCCTGCAGCAGTGTTTGCACCACAGCTTCCCTAGAGCTTGGCACTGCTTTGGGACATGTCTGCATGACAACATCTTTCCAGCTGCAAGGAAAAACACACAAAACCAAGCAGAAATAGAACAGGCAATTTATAAACTATTTATAAACTAACTAGCACTGTGTGGGTTTAGCTGCACTTGCCAAGGACCTATAGATACAATACCTTAATGTCTTCCTACACTTGCCTACTTCTTGTCTACTTTGTGCCGCTGAGGATTGGATTTGCTGTCAAAGTGATTTCAGTTTTTTCCTCCTTTCTACAAAAGAACAGCAATACAAGAAACAGTGAGATCTCAGCAGCAGAAGAAACATTTTAATACAGCTTGTGAACAAAATAAAGTTATGTTTTCTGTAAGGTCCATGTTACACAAAGCATTTTATAGAAAATAATAATAAACCAGGGAGGATGAGGATTTTAAAACTGGTATTTACAGAACTAAGGAGCTCTTAAAGAGGCATGAGAATAGAGAAGTCTGTGAATGGTTAGACAATAAAAGTAAGATCACAAATACAGGATAAATAGACAGAGAGCAGCTGAAGTGCAAGTGAGCACCTAATGAGAGAGAAAAAGGAAAGAGGAAATCCAGAAGAGGATAAGGGAAGAGGGTTACACAAGGTGAGCTATGTATTCAGAAAGACACAGGGCTACCTCCTTCTGCCTCTCCTAAACAAGAAAAGCAGCAGAAAAAAAGCAGCAGAGATGAGGCTGAAGCAAAGCATACAAATGTGAAGGATGCCTCTTTGCCAGCATCCTGGTCATAACCACACATGGACCATATCTGTGCTGCAGCCAGGAGTGTTGTGCATAGCCTGGAGCCTCAGATACAAGAGGATGAGCCCTGGTAACAGCACAGCTGTGCCAGCACCGACATCAAAGCACGTTTTACAACTGACAGCAAACTGTAACTTCTCCAGCTCCCAGTACTGTTTGTTCCCGGGGTGGCTACTTTAGAGCTGGTCTGTTCCTGTGCTCATAAGCTACAAAGTGCTCCTTTGGCAGGTGTCCAGATATTCTTTGACAAAAGGGGGAAGAGGAGCCCTCAGAGCAAAGTTAAGGGCATGAATTAAGGGCCCAAAGGACCTCGTTATGAGACCCTAGAACTGTCAGAACGTGTAGCACACACAGTGTGTGGCTGTGAGCTACCAACGCACTGACAGCACAACCCGAGGGAAAGGAGCACTGGGTGTAGCCTCCACACCAAGATCTGTTTTGCATAACGCAGTTACAGGTGCTGAACTTTTACAACACGCTGCCTCCTCTCCTTAGCCCTAGGATGACACGAACCAGCCCGTTTATTACACATGAGCAAGGCTGCGCGAACACTACGGGCTGCATTCCTTCGAGCCTGTTTCACTCCGGCGGAAGGTAACCGGTAAACGAAATATACCAGAAAACGTTAGGAGAAGGAAAACGTCACTCGGAGAAACGTTTCTTGGAAACACCCAAGTATCCATCACTTTTAGCAGCAGAGAGGGTCAGGCGATAGCGCCGAGCTCAGGGGGCACTGGGAGCACGGGGGGGGTCGGTGAGAGAGGACTCCCATGGGAGAGCCCGGGCAGGCCGAACCCCCAGCACA